TAGTTGAATCGACTTTTAAGCTCTCTGATCGATATGGATAATCAGTTTAAATTTGTTTGCAACCGTTTAGGTCCGTTTCGAGCCCCCCCAGTTGTGACTTGCGCATTGAAAGAAAGAAACCCCCCCCTCCCCCAAAGTTATTTTAAGAAGCGAAAAGTTCAGGTCCCCCCTCTCCCCTCGGGCCCTTTTGCACGAGTCTTTAATCCTCTGTTCACCGTTAACAAAGTGCCATAGCAAGTTCAGTTTTTGAAATTCGCACTTCGTCGTTTTCAGTTCTCGGCGGGTGATGACAATAGAAAAACGTTGCGCGAAGGTCCCAGTTCAAAGGACTGAGACTTCCTTCGTGTACAGAATCCAGAATTTCTCTTTCCCAAAGAAAGCAATAAATAAAGACAATTCAATAAAGCGTGTTTTTAGATGTAAATGTCGGAGAGAAATAGCTTGCCAAAATGAATGCAAATTAATTCTTGAGTTCAAGCGATTCTGAAGACTGTGAAGCCAGGCAAAGTCTCTCAGCCTTTTTTTTTTTTATGAAAAACACCAGATATTCTCGAACCATCCACCAGGTGATGGAATATATTACGGCATCGTGGTAATGGAAGGACGCTGTGTACTTACAGTGAGATTCAACTTTCACAGCATCTTCGTAATAATCCCCGTAGTTTCGCCATAAATTTAATTTGTATTTCAAGTATTACCGATCTCTGTGACCTCTGGAAGAGTTTTATCATGGGTTCGAATCTCTTTTGGTGCTTTTTTTTTTTACTTGTTTGTATTATTCATACAACCCTGTCGATTCTCTTAACAATAATTAACAAAATTTTTGGGATAGCAGAGGTCAAGTTTTAATTAGGGCATTGGCGCGAAATAATAAAGAGAAAAATACGGTTATCAACACATTAAGAGGGATTATTGCATTCCCGAATCATCACCGATTTCCGAGTGTCATTTTGTCGGTCTTTGATTTTTTTTTCAGATGTTTTGGGAAACCTCTCGGGCTTTGTCGGGTCGGTCCAGAAATGAATATGCTCTTTGTCTTAACATCCCCCCAAGTCCAGTTTTCGTGCTATGGCGCAGCTGCGGTTTGCCTGCCACTTGGCACTAATCCACTCTTCCACATTAGGTCATTAGCAGGGGTGGCAAACTCATTTCCGAATAATGAAGCAAACTGGAAATGTCTTTCTGCGAGGTCTTCGCGACTGTCGTCAGCAATGATCTGTCGAAGAAGTTTTGAACTTTTCAGTGAAGGGATTAAACCAATTTAATGCATCGAGAAATAGATGTTAAACAAAGAAATTTAGTGAGATTAAATTCTGGGGATGGTTACCTTATTCATTTTAGAATTATTTTTCTTCCCGGTTTCGGTAGGCTCCGAAAATATAAAAATTAAAGTATCAAGACTGAGATTTCACTTAGCGTATCAGTGCAGGTGTTGTTTTGTTTGGGTGTCAAACCTGGTTTCTCATCCTGACGCAAGAACACGATGCTGGTCGAGTTCGCGTTGCTCATGCGCAGAGATTCATGGGTAACTGCGTCGTCATCATTACACTTCACGATTTTGTGTGTCTATCACGTTGGTATTACGGTGAAAATTGTGACTTTGGAAAGTAACTTCCATACCAAATTTAATTAATATCTGTCGAGCCATATTCCAGTTATGAAATGCTAGAGATGGATGGTGATTAGGTTGGGTTAGGTTGGTAATTTGCGTGGGCAGAGCCTCCAGGGTAACGGCGTCATGTCATTCAGTCGGACGAATTCAAAGTTTGATCACGTTGTGTGTATTACCGGTCGGAGGAAGTCAAAAATTACGAATTTGGAATAGACGTCTTTGGGGAAAACGTCTAAGTGAGTAGTCGTGGTCTATTTTAAGGCATTTTACATTATCTGCTCCGGTGGAAAAACTCGAGAAATCATGACAGTTTTCCTCAGCCTGGATTTTAACTAGGTTCGAATCTGCCACGTTACCAATTTGCTAGATCACTCGATCTGGCTGTTAGAGATGACCTACATAAACGTTCCAGCATGTTTTGACATCCCTGCGTCTCTGCCTGCTTGCTGTACCCCATCACGTTCGATAGCATTCATCCCAGCTCGCTTATATTGTCAGTTCGTGAGCTAAGGAGCAATGGATGGGCTTTCATGGAGCTCCAAGTACGTGCTGTACCTATGTGAGGTTGACGGATACCTGCGCATGACAGGAACAAGTCTCTGTCCTGAACACTTGCGATTGGAAAATTGTTTCCCGTTCCATATGTGCTCTTTGAGACTTTGCCTGTGGGAACAAATTTGATGTAAGAAAGCTAATCCCGTTTCACACACGATAGGACATTCTCTTGTTTATCAGATAGTTAAGTATTAACCATCTGGGAAAAAAAATATATAAAAAGAACGTGTTATCCTTGTACAGATTTTCCCTTATTTTGTTAATCAACGAAAATCAACTTTTGTACGACAGACAATTTAATAAATCTTTTAATGTTCGTTTAATGTAGTGATTACATTGGACCGATAAATCAAATTTATCGCGTAAAATTTGATGTAGACTCCCAATATTAAACGTTGTCTAAATCGATTTAATTATTATCCAAGAGATGGTAAAGTTGCGTCATATTGTGATATAATAAATATATATTATTTAAATCTTGTCCGTCTGATCACAATAAAGTCTTATTAAATATTAAAATATTACAATAATTAACATTTAAAATATTTAAAATATTAAATGATGTTCTTTATCGAAATATTCGATTTACATTAGAC